GCCCGAGAGTCCCCGCGGCCCGAGAGTCCCCCGGCCCGAGAGTCCCCCGGCCCGAGAGTCCCCCGGCCCGAGAGTCCCCCGGCCTGAGAGTCCCCCGGCCGGTCTAGCGCGGGCCGAGCTCCAGGACGCTGCAGCGAACACTTTGCCCCACGAACACTAGCGGGTGAACGTGAAATACGGCCTGAGCACCCCCCTCCCTGTGCCATCTCGGCGCTCAGGGTCTCTGGCGCCAGCCCGGCGCTGTGCCCAGGGCTGCGTGGGGGCGCCTCACGCTCGGGCTTCCGGGGCTGCACCAGTCCAGGGACAGGTGAGCTGGTCGTCCAGCTCGCTGGACGGGGCAGCCCTCTGGGGGTGCCCCCGGAACAGAGCCCGAGGCTAGCTGTGGCGAGCGGGCGCTGCCTCGGGAGCAGCACAGGCCCCCGGGGCCCCCTGCGGCCTCGGGCCCCGCCTGGAGGAAGTGGCTGGGTGCTATCTGTGTGGGGAGAGGGGCCTTCTCCGCCCATGACAGGCGCTGGGAGCGCTGGCCGCCCAACACGCCCCGACACGCCCCGGACGCCCTGGCCTGGGCCAGCGGCAGGCGGGCAGCGCCCAGTGCTGCGTCGGGCTCTCAGCGGCTGCTCCCCAGACTCGGGCTCGGTGCGGGCGAGGATGCGGGAAATCGTGCACATTCAGATCGGCCAGTGCGGCAACCAGATAGGAACCAAGGTGAGGGGTGGGGGCGCCCTGCCCCCCGCCTGCGGCGCCGCGGGGAGCGGGAGCCCCGCGCACTTGTTGGATCGCCCTCTCGCACCTTCTCCCAGCCAGGTGTCCCGAAAACCGCCCAGTCTGTGGGGCCACTGCTCACACCATCCCGCACCCCCACTCTGCCCTCTAGTCAGAGTCTCCGCCGCCGCCGCAGCTAGTGGCGACAGGGGGAGTGTGGAGGGCGGCGTGGACGGGCGGCGTGGACGGGCGGCGAGGACGGGCGGCGCTGTGCACCTGGGCGCAGGCGTGTCCCGTCTGGGCTTCCGCGTGGCACCCGCGGCCCATGGCCTGGTCCCGCGCGAAGCTCCGGGAGTCGTGGCCCTGTAGACGTGGCTTTTGCTGGTGGACGTGGCCTGAAAACTCGACTCTTCACATTTTTCAAGTTGTGTTAAAATGCTAAAGGCTACGCTAAAGCGAGCACGGACCTTCGCCCTGGAACTGCTTTGGGGGTGCGGTCCCAGGCTGTCCAGCCCCACCCAGCCCCGCCGGGCCCAGCCACCACCGCCCGCCTGGCCCTGGCCCCTGGACGAGGGGCCGCGCCCCGGCGGCTGCGGGGGGCCCCACGCCTGCTTGCTCCTCGGCGCTGCGCTGGTCACTCCCTCTGCGCCACCGTCCGGAAGAGCGCCCCGAGAAGGGCCAGGCCGAGCGCGCGGGGGCAGCACCCCTCCGCCTGGCACAGGGGCATCCCCGCGCCGCGGTGGCGCGGTCTCACCACACTCAGGGAGGGGGGCAGGCGCCCCGCTGCCCTGAAGCGGGGGGCAGTCTGCAGGGAGGCCGGCGGGGTGCAGGCGCAGGGAGGCGGCTCGCGCGGAGCCGGGGGCGGAGAGCCCCAGGACTTGTCTGAGCCGGGGGAACTAAAGACGCATTGGTTTGTGGCGTCAGAATGGCGCCCGTTAATCTCCCCCCGCGGCTGGGAGCCGTGACACAGCGTGGCGCTGGTAAGGCAGCCGGCAGTCGGCATGACGGGGCCGGACAGCGGCGGGGCTTCCTCACCAGTGGGCACATTTCCTTCCTTTTGAGAAGATTTTACTTTTTAAAAGGAGTTATTTAGGCATATGGGAACTGGGGTACAGCCAGAGGTGCGGGGGGTGAGCGGCTTCCCCAGAGACAGAGCGGGGAGCAGAACAGGCCGATGGACTGAAGCACCCTGCTGAGGGCCAGCGGGTGGTCAGGGAGGTCTCGGCGCCCTGGGGTCACCTCCGGGGCGGGAGGGGATGGGCCGCACGGCAGTGCTGCGCCTCAGCCTGCTGCCACCGGGGAGGCTCCCAGCGAGTGTTTTCGACACACTGCATACGCGCGCCCACGCAGAGAGGGGCCGCCCTGATGACCGCGCCCCGAGAGCGGGGACACCCACACTGGCAACTACGGGGTCCGTGGCGAGCGGGCGAGGGCCGCGCTGAACACGAGCGCCAGGACCCACGGCGCCCCACGCCGCAAGGACGCCTCTGGGGGGCATTTCGGAAACCTGCGTGACCAGTGACCCCCCCGAGTGAGTGTGAAGTCAGACAAGAGTTGGGATCTCTGCTACATCGGCCCACGTGAAATTCGAGGACAACGCTTTGCCGCTGCCGTGCACCTAACAGGCGGAGGCCGGTTTCCTACTTGCTGTGTGGGCGCTTTGCCTGGGACCGGGGTGGGCGCAGCCCCCTTGGTGGGGGGTGGGGGGAGGGGAGGCAGGTCCGCCGGCTGCGCTTCCAGAGGCGGGAGCCCCCCACCCGCGAGCCGCCGGGCGTGCCCAGGGCCCCTGCCCTCACGCCGCCCTCCGCTCGCAGTTCTGGGAGGTGATCGGCGAGGAGCACGGGATCGACCCCGCGGGCAGCTACGGCGGGGACTGCGCCTTGCAGCTGGAGCGGATCAGCGTGTACTACAACGAGGCCCACGGTAGGGCGCCCCGCTGGCCCCCCGCGGCTGTGAAGGCCGCGGCTTTCCCGCAGCCTCCCCGCCCGGCCACCCCCGCCCGGCCACACTGCCCACGGAGCCCCGGGGGTCTTCTGGGCGGGCCGAGGGTCGCCGGGGTCGAGGACGCGCCCCGCTCCGTGGGCGCCTCCTTTCCTGCCCTTCCCCAGGCCTGCCAGGAAACGGCCCTTAGTGGGGGCCCCCCACCCCCCACAGGTAGGAAGTACGTGCCGCGGGCGGTCCTGGTGGACCTGGAGCCAGGGACCATGGACAGCATCCGGTCCAGCAGGCTGGGAGCCCTCTTCCAGCCCGACAGCCTGGTCCACGGTAGGCGCTGTGGGGAGGTCCCGCCGGGAAGGGCGGGGGAGGCTCCCCCGCACCCCGCACTGCGAGCTGCGCCCCTCCCGCCACAGGGACCTCGGGGGCCGGCAACAACTGGGCCAAGGGCCACTACACGGAGGGCGCCGAGCTGGCGGACGCGGTGCTGGACGTGGTGCGCAAGGAGGCGGAGAGCTGCGACTGCCTGCAGGGCTTCCAGGCCGTGCACTCGCTGGGCGGCGGCACCGGCTCGGGCATGGGCACGCTGCTCCTGGGCCGGGTGCGCGAGGAGTTCCCCGACCGCATCCTCAACGCCTTCAGCGTGGCGCCCTCGCCCAAGGTGTCGGACACGGTGGTGGAGCCCTACAACGCCGTCCTGGCCCTGCACCAGCTGGTGGAGCACGCCGACGCCTGCTTCTGCATCGACAACGAGGCGCTCTACGACATCTGCTTCCGCACCCTCAAGCTGGCCACGCCCTCCTACGGCGACCTCAACCACCTGGTGTCCCTGACCATGAGCGGCGTCACCACCTCCCTGCGCTTCCCGGGCCAGCTCAACGCCGACCTGCGCAAGCTGGCCGTGAACATGGTGCCCTTCCCGCGCCTGCACTTCTTCGTGCCGGGCTTCGCGCCGCTCACCGCCCGCGGCAGCCAGCAGTACCGCGCCCTGACGGTGGCCGAGCTCACGCAGCAGATGTTCGACGCCCGCAACACCATGGCGGCCTGCGACCCCCGGCGCGGCCGCTACCTGACCGTGGCCTGCATCTTCCGGGGCCGGATGTCCACCAAGGAGGTGGACGAGCAGCTGCTCGGCGTGCAGACCAGGCACAGCAGCTGCTTCGTGGAGTGGATCCCCAACAACGTCAAGGTGGCCGTGTGCGACATCCCGCCGCGGGGGCTGAGCATGGCCGCCACCTTCATCGGCAACAGCACGGCCATCCAGCAGCTGTTCACCAGGGTGGGCGAGCACTTCTCGGCCATGTTCCGCAGGAGGGCCTTCGTGCACTGGTACACGGCCGAGGGCATGGACGTTAGCGAGTTCGCCGAGGCCGAGAGCGACCTCCACGACCTGGTGTCCGAGTACCAGCAGTTCCAGGACGCCGGCTTGGCTCAGGAGGGGGAGGGGGTCGCCGGGGAGCCCGGGGAGGAGCAGCCGGCGCCCTGAGGGGGGCCGGC